AACTTCTTGCACACTTTTAAATGACTCCACATATTACTTGTGCCATTAACAATAGTATGACATGCATAATGTTTTCCACAATAATTACATTCAGCTCTAGGGGCTTTAAGATCAACATCAAGTTTTGTAAAGTGATCCCAAATTTGTGACTTTTTTCTATCTTCAACATTTCTTTTCCTAGATATAAGGACTTCGGGTTGTTTACCTTTTGTGTATGTGGTGGATCCTGCATTGGTTGATTCTGTGTTAGTTTTTGAAGTTGGAGAAGTGGTTGATGTTGGTGTTGTGCTCGTGGATGAAGCATTTTGAATTTGAATATTTTCCATCTGTTATCACAAAAACATGTTAAAACTTAAAAACCCATAATTTATAATAGACTTAAATGTACTAAAATTCAAAGAAATTATCAAACTAATAGAAACTTAAATACATATACGTAGATTTTAATTTATAAGAAATCAAATGGATAGTTAGTTTTAAGGATATGGATTGCTCTTTTCATTGCATAAAGTTGGCATGCAGCAAAGACTAGAAAAGACTAACTCTTTTTGTGAGCCAAAGTGCTAATGTATATTACTACTATATTTTTTAATTAAAAATATATTAAAATATTTTTTTATATCAGTATATTAAAATTATAAAAAAATACATAAAAATATATCAATTTAATGACTAGCACAAGAAAAAAATTATGAAATTTAATTTAAAAAATAGATTATAAAGCAAAAACAACACTGGCTAAATACAAAAATGATTTATTAAATACTTAGCCATGTACACATGCAGGGAAGGGGCTGTAATATTAACAATTAACATGGGCAAAGTTTGATAAGATGTAATATTCTTAATTCTTTAACATTAATGATTCTAACTTCCATCATCGATGATGATACCCCATGTGTGATTATACTGATAGGATTGAAGTCATGTCAAAGAACAGCTGAAATTGATCAATCCAAAATTCTATTTAATTGCTTATAATCGAGCCCACCTATTTGTAAATTAAAATCTACAAATTAAAATCTACGTACATGCATCTAATCTTGAAAAGGATCTGCTTACTTACTTCAGTTCCAAAACGTTGTTCTATCAGAAACAACCCAGATCTGCAAGAAATAAAATAATAAAAAACAAAACACAAACATCATGAATAAAAATCCAAACTTTATATTAAAAAACCTTAAAAAGCTAAAGTCTTTTAATCACTAAAGCACGTAAAGATCTAGCCTGTGTGAAATCAAGAGTTGCAGTGAACAGATCTTGAAGTGGTGGTTAATGATTTGTGCTTTGATTTACATAGAGGATTTTGGGTCAAATAAGATTTTGAGGGAGCGGCTGCAAGGAGTCTAGGTTAATTAGGTTTTAGAAATTAGAAAGTGTTTTTTTTTCATATTTATAGTACCCCTTAAATAGAACCGGTTCGTTTCGGTTGGGGTTTTACCGGTTTCCGGTTTCGTAAACCGAAACCGAACCGAACTGAAAATTTTTACAATTTTTTTTAATCGGTTTTTTTTTTCGGTTCGGTTTTTTTGGTTTTTTTTCTCGGTTTATTCGATTTACTCGGTTTCTCGATTTTTTTGCTCACCCCTAATACGTATATCAAAAGCTACTTGCCTCTCCACTCTTTTCTTGCTTCCCATGGAACCAGAAGCTAGCAAGATTAATTAATTTGCGTGACAGGGTATCAATCCTGCACCCAAAAAGCAGATTCAAGAAACAAAAACATTATACGTAAATTATATAACACAGGAAATAAAATATCGGCTCAAATGTGCTTAAGAGTGAGTTGGTGTGATGTGATTTTTATTCTTTATAACAAAATCAGATCCTAATTGTCAAAGACTAATGATAGTTGATTGCTTTCATAAATGATTACTTGCATCATCTTCTTTTTTAATTTTAATCTCTATTCTTTTAATTTTATTTTTATCTAAAAAGTTCATAGATAACTTATAATATCAGAAGTGGCCAAAAAATGATAGCACATTATGAAGCAACAATCAATAGGTCCAAAACTAAACAACATAAATATATCTCATAGAGCTCTTTTGTCTCATAAAAAAAAAAAAAATTAATGTTTGATTAGCTGACAATACATGAGATTCTTTTTCGCAACGATATTTTCAAGTTATTTTTTAGTCTATATTTATCATATTTTATTAGCGCAAGAAAGATAACTTATAATATTTTTAAATTAAAATTGCTTGAATGATACCTTTTTATAGTTGGAATTTGAAGTTTTTTTGCAATTAGGAACTAAAAAAACTTTTGACACATAATCTATGACACCTTTGAGCATATTTTTCACACATAATATATGATATGTCATCTATATTTGATGTCTTTTTAATTTTGGTTCATATTATTTTAATTTTATCTTTATATAAGAAATTTAAATCAATTCACCTTCAATTGGAATTAAATAGAATAGAACTATGAAAAAAAAAAAACACAGTGCCATCAATGTGTTTTGTGTGTATATGAACAGTGCCGTTTCCATAATACTGAACCCATGCGTTTTCGTTTTTCTTTATTTAATTAGAATGAGAAGATGCTCTAAGCAAAATACACACAAAATTAAATGTTGGATCGTTGACATCCATCAGACTTCTAGAAGACTTGGCAGTGTATTAATTAAAGTTGGCTCGTTGACATCCATCAGACTTGTAGAAGACTTGGCAGGCGTTAGGAGGGACCCACCCTTCACTTCTTAATTCTAGAAATATCTTTCAAAGGAGACGCTCGTAAGTTTGAATTCTATCAATTTTATTTTGTTATTTAATTAAATTAAATAATTTTAATACAATGTAATGGTGAGTATTTAATTAAGGTTAAAAAGCTTTTATTTGATAAGAGACGGTAGAGAATTATATAAAATTATTTATTAAACTTCAAATTACATCTCAAACTTTTGATTTGAAATAATTATTTAAAAATATTATAAAATTTTTATTCAAAGATCAAGAGTAGAAAAGTTAGTCTCAATTCACATACAACCTAGCCTCCATATATCTCTCGCATTGCAGCTAAATCTTTTTTTATGTTTATAATTATTATTTTTAATTGATTCAATTTGTCTTGGGATTTTGTTCTATAAGATTTATTATTTATGGATGAAATTTATAATAAAATAATTAAGGCATAATATAGAGAAGTTGAAGATACATCAAATATTTAACATCACTATTGACAAAAAAAAGCTCTATGCATATATAAAAAGCTAGCAGCCTCTATACTCTTCTCATACTAGCCATAGAACTAGTTTAGAGCCCGTGAAATTAGTCGTGGTGCGTACAAGCTGGTCCGAACACCCACATTAATCTAAAAAAAAAAACAAGCAAACATAACATGTAAATCAGAGCACTTAGGAGTGAGTTGGTGTGATATGATTTTTATTCTTTATAACAAAATCAGATCATATATAATTGTCTAAGACCAATGATAGTTGATTGCTTTTCATAAACGAGGACTCATATCTCCCTTTTTATCTTCACCTATCATCCACTTTTTAAACATGCCTTTTAGCTTTAATCAATATCAAAATATAAAATAATTTTCCAAGTCAACTGATCGGAAGTATCACCAATGCCGGCCTTTTGATTATTCTAGCATTGCACGCATCATATATATATATATATACACCATGATCACAATCTAGAAGCTGGTGATAGTCGAGCGATGATTAACAAAACATTACATGTAAACTTTCGATCACCACCTTAACATCACACTATGATTAAGACTTCTCTAATTTTTAATTCTCAGATGTTCATATGATCATTACTATATATACCATTATCTTGCTTGAACTCTCACACCACTAACCCTGCTTTGAACTTTAATCCTTCGAACCATTTGCTCAACCCGTTTGATTGTTAAAAAAAAAAATGGAGGTGATGAACAAAATACTATCCGAGAGCGATGCAAAAAATAAGCGACTCGAATTTCCGTCTAGGAGTCTCTCGGCCTTCCCCATGCCAGATGGTCAGAACTCGGTCCAATTTGTGGCGTTTGACATGCAAGAACAACAATGGAGACTTAAGGTCTCCATCCGCAATGAAGGTAGGTATCCGAAACCTTGGCTAAAGGGCGAATGGCATGACTATGTTCATCAGAAAGGGCTCAAGAAAGGAGATAAAGTTATCTTGACTATGGACGAGGAAGAGAATGGCGAAAGAATTTATCGTATCAGAGCTGAAAGAAAGCATTTCGGTTTCTGGTATTCAATTGATGATCAGCAGTAATAGCTCTCCATAAATCGAAGCATGAGGCTGGGCTTATGTTTAGTGCGACAGGCATGCAGAAACTATCTTTTGGATCTGTCTGAATTAAGTTCACTCTGGTTGTGTAATGAGTTAGGTCAAAATAGAATATATGTCTGTCTTGCAGAAGGTAAGTCCTAGCTAGTCGTAAGAACAATTGTCCCTATGAATTTGTTTCCTTCAGTACTCTGCCTTGGTGTTCTGTCATTGTTGTATTTTGTTTTGGGTATTATGCTTATTTATGTGGGATGTGCTTTGTGTCTGTTGGAGTGGATACAGTTCCAACATCTTTGATTAGGTTTGTTCTACTGCCTTTGTAGACATCCCCAACAAGGATGATTCTTGTATCTTCACTTCTAATTTATATTATATAAAAGAAATTCTTGTATGTGTGTATGGTTTTTAGTTTCCGGCAATTTCTCATATTTTTGGGTAAAAAAAACATTTTTTGCCTCTAAATCTAGTTTGAACTTCTATTTTTAAGGGTTTTTTTTTTTTCAATTGTATCGTGGTGCATTTGGTTGTCCCAAGTCACGCATTATCTAATCCATATGCCAACTCTTGGCTTCCATATAAGATATAATCCATCACAACTTTTGATTTATATGTGTTAGGTCAATTTAATATGGATTAACAAAATAATATAAGGGTTATATAAAGATAAGAATATACCACTCACCATAATTTTTAAGCATTTGGATAAAGGTAATGTTGATTGTAACTTCTTATGAACACCCATTCGGTCACAGATAATGTTGATTGGTTTCTCTTCTGAATATCCATTAAGTCAAAGAAATTGTTGGTTAGCAATGGTCCTAATATCGGCTAAGACGGCGGATCCACCATGCTTCAGTACTTCAGCTTTGTTGCATATACAAGGACAGTCAAACTTTAGAGTACGACTAGGTTTGATTGATTTTTTTAGGTTCATGTGTGTCTGAACAGTCCAACATACTTCAGACATATATGGTAGTCTTCAATAATATTGTTTAAGTGAAGAACATTTTAGAGTATGCACAACTCTTTATCATCAACCTCATGAGACTCACTTGACAAAGAT